GGGTGCGTTACGGGGAACTGATCCTCAAGGAAAAGGGAAAGGGAATAACTTCTCGGTACATAGGTTTGTGTACAAGACTTAGTCTGTAGACTAGGTAAGAATCTACACACTAATGCTATGGAGTAAAACTATGAGACGAAGGACGTAACCTGACCTCTAGCTACCGTAGGTCTTGGCCAGTGGGTTAGCGGGACACACTTGCTGGGGTGTACGGGGTCACTAAGGGGTGAATACACGGGTAGGTTTTAGCGAGCCACATTCGCTAAATGCTTGGGGTCAATGTGGGTCGGATGCGAGGTAAGGTGTGTGAGGGGAATTCGCATCGACTCCGGGGAAAGGTGGAGGGAAAATGGCTAAGTCCTAAGTACATGTCCCATGGCGGTACATGTTCAATAGCAGTGAGTGCTACATGCATTGCGCGCTATACAATAGCGTACTGTATGTACAATGTGCTGCACACTTAAACGTGTGTCTAAAGACTTCGTGGTAAAGCTTCGCGCTGTGTGAGGGCACACAGGATCGCTGCAAGCATTACACTGTGCACGGAGTGGAATGGATTGGTTAGGAAAGAAGTAAACTACGCAATTTGCGGGAACGCAACACTATGTACATGTACGCACATGTACATGTATGCACATGTACATGTACATGTATGCACATGTACATGTACATGTACCTATAGATCTATTGCATTCGCAGCAGCCATCTTTGAGGTACATTTTGTTATGTTAATTCATTGATCATGACGTTTACTCATGCGTAACCCCATTGAACAAAAGCATGGCTGTGGCGCAAACGATCTATTTGCATATGTACATGTACATGTGTATGCACATGTACATGTGTAGCCCCAACTGTATGATAGCACACATGTCTACAGGCATTGCATTGCAAAAACATGGACTTCGTCAAAAATTGTAAACGTATTTGGTGTTCAAAGCAAAGGCTTGGTAGTAATTAGCCTGTCATGTTTACATAGCATATTTTTATAAGTGCGTGCAGGGAGGATTTAGCAACTGTCAGATTCGATGCTCTGTGAGTTACAATGTGTTTACTCAGAAAGGAAAAGGGCTGTTGCAAAAAACTCATTTTGGGGTCAGCGTGGTTGACAATCAGCACAATTCCCTTCCATGTGAGCCTGACAAACGTGAATGATGAGTTGTATAATGCCACGAAACATGACATTTCACAGAACCAACGCAATTGGTGGTCTACATGTACATGTACAGGTACATAGAGACGCTGCCTGTGTAGTGGGACTATACAATCTCATGATTCTTTGCAGACCTAGCTACCGCACGCATCAAAAGATTTTCATTTCTCTTTTTTAACCTTTCAAGAGGATCATTGTCAAAAACCATTACACATAACCCCTCAACCCTAAACGCCTTGGGCAACACAATCGGGGTAGTCAAACTTTGAAGAAATTTTAAATGGGAATTGGTCTTCGTATTTTTTTTCCTATCCTTATCTGGCAATGCATTAGTATGATTCCCTTGCTGTTAATCAAGATCTAAGGGTTTTTTTTCCCCAGTATCAAAATGTTCACTTCAAACTGCAGGGCAAACATGTACATGTAAATATTGTATGACCTCTCTCAAGTGAAAGGATGTCTACATGTATATCTCGGGAGGCCTTCACATACACGTAATTTAACGTAAACACTTGAGAGGCTAAACAAGTTAAAATACTTGTTTATGCACATTGATTTTTCTATGGCCTGATGTCGTTTACAGATTGCAGCATTTGCTTTTGCTTTCAGGAAAATTGTGTAGATTACACAGAGGAATCAAATTGTATACATTTTTGGGGATAAAGTTTTTTTTGGGGGGGGGGATTTTTGAAGAGATAAAGTAGGATTATAGATAGTTGGTCTGTGTGGTTTACTTGGGAAAAACTGATGCTGGGAAATTCGTTGCCATTTTCTGTTGTGTTTTCCTTTTGGTTTTACATGTAGTTGGGCAGAATGATCTTTTTAGAAACTTCCTGATAGTGTTTGCTTTTTTTGGATGGCTGTAAGATATCCTGTTGGTGTAATGATAAGTAGATGTGATAGACAGCCATCTTTATTTAAACGTCATGGAAAACATGTGGATTTGTCAACATGGTCAAGGAAAACACATGGGTTTGTCATGGAAAGCCATTGATTTGTCATGGAAAGCCATTGATTTGTCATGGAAAACATGGATTTATCAAGGCAAATACATGGATTTGTCATGGAAAATCTGTTGATTTGTCATGGAAAACATGTGGATTTGGCATGGGAAAGCCACGGATTTGTAATGAAAAAACCATTGATTTGTCATGGAAATAAACACATGGATTTGTCAAGGAAACACGTGGATTTGTCATGGGAAACACATGGATTTGTCATGGATAAGCCATTGATTTGTCATGGAAAAGCCATTGATTTGTCATGGAAAAGCCATTGATTTGTCATGGAAAAGCCATGGATTTTCCATGGAAAAGCCATGGATTTTTCATGGAAAATGCACGGATGTGTTATGGAGAAAGTCATGGAAAAATTATGGATCTGTCATGGCATTGTAGTTTGATTTGTAATAAATACTCTTGTGATATTGTCATGGATTTTTGATGAGGAAGATCTGGAGAATTGATGCATTTTGTGTTGGATTTATTTAGAAAAAAATAAATAGAATTTTTCATGGGGAACTTTGTCATGAATTTGCCGTTGCAAAGTCATGAACAATGATGGATATTTCTCATAGAAAGTTGGTTGCTTTATTTAAAATATATCATCTGTATCATGGAACATCATGAAAAAAAAAATTCTTGAAAAAAGTATTGGATTTGGACAAAACTTGTAGTAAAAAAGCTCTTTAATAATTTGTCACAACAATGTATTTGACATGAAGAAAACTGTTTATTTTATGCACAGGGAATTTGCATTTGAATGATGTGGCTCGTGTGTAACCACATTGGGTATATTGGGATTTATAATTGAGTTTTTACACAAATTCATATAGTGTACATGGCTCAATACACAGAACAGCTGCACAAGGTAATTAAATTAATGGGCACTATGGGATTTGTTATGATATATTTAGGCCTATGTCTCCTTTTGCAAAACGTTTACCATTTATATTCCTTTGAAAATGGATCCTTTCAGACGTGTGTATATTCCCCTCAGCTATATATTGTCACTGCTTTCAGAAGGGACATTCATTTTAAGTTGGATAAAAATAACCTGTATTGAAATTTTTGACAAGATCGTCCTTTGTGAAAACGCTAGTACATGTAAAATCCTGTCTGCCTGGCAATATTCTGTACATGGTACGGTCATGGAAGGTTAGGTGTACATGTACACTTGAAAGCGTATAGGTCTGTGAACATGGACAAGATAAATACGATCATAAACATAACCCTGGACCTGCCTGCCTGCATATTTATCATTCTGTAAACATATTAAATGTACATGAAGTAATGGGGGAAAAAATAGCAGGAAATGTGAGAACAAAAGAAAGTGATTCAAATTCTTCCTGTGTTTTTTTGGTAATTTATTTCGAGGTTGTGTGTTGTGCCTGTCTTTTTTTTTTTACAGGCTTCTTTGTTTTCCTAGTGTGATCTTTTTGAAGAAATGTTATCAGCTGTTTCAGCACACCAGCCAAAACAGCTTTAGTTTTCGTTAAGATTTTCTTTTTACATGCTTCTTTGTCTTCCTGGTGTGATCTTTTTGAAGAAATGTTATCAGCTGTTTCGGCACACCAGCTGAAACAGCTCTAATTTTCATTAAGATTTTCTTGTTTCTTTTCCTTCTTTTTTTTTTTTACTCCATTTCCCATAGGATAACACATGTTTTTGATCTACATCCCACTTTGGGGCTGTTTTTCAAATCCGTTCCGATTCAAACTTGGCCATTACCCGGAAATGGACGTATCAATTTATTGAGAAAATCCTTGCTCAAAGTGAAGATACCGGCAAGGATGGTACCAAATACCCTGAGAAATTATTCCACCTGAATTGGTATATTTCGGAAGAAAACAATCATTAAAGATAGATTTTAAAAAAGTGGTCCCACGGGCACAATTATTTACATGCTCTAACCCTAACCCCCTAGGCCCTTTTTGCTAGGAACAATCCTAAATCCTCCAACGTTTTGCACTTACATGTATGTTCAAATGAAGGATACCCAGCGCCTAAATCCTTTAAAATCGTCGAACAGTCCTGCCTCAAAAAAATGCATTCATCCTCAATCCTCCCAAATCCTCCCCATCTTCAAACACCACTCATCCTCAATCCTCCAAAATCCTCATGTTTCTCAAACACCATTCAGCCTCAATCCTCTGAAATCGTCCAAAACCGCAATGAGGATTGAGGTGGGTTAGGGTTAAAGGGAATGTACATCATTGGCTTTTGCTGTAATTTTCAGAAATGAACTATTTGAAGGGTTAGTATAATAGATCAAATAGTGTTACACTGACGAGTGCAGTTTTGTGTTCGAAAGTGCTGGAAAAACCAAGAAAAACAAAAATGTTCAAGTAGTCTGGTTCCCTGACTCCACTAAGGATAAAATGGATCAATTTGTAGATGCCGGAAAATTGTAAGGTAAGGGAACCAGTGTAGCTGGCCTGCATCCGTTCATGAACATGTAACCAATAGCAAACAAAATTTGGACTGAAAAAAATGGTAAATGTGGAGCTGGGGAAATATAGATAGGTTTTTCCAAGGTTGGTCGGCCGACCACTGTTGGAAATGTATACAAAAATACCATTTTCTTGAAAATGACTTCACACCATGTGCCATAATTTTACAGGATGCTTTAGACTGTCATTTACCAACATCCTAGTAAGGTATTTAAAAACTTAGTAGTTTATTTTTTTGATGTTTGCAAATTTTGTATATTCCCTTTAACTTCCACAGGTTAGTTGTTAAATGCACCTTACTTCATATTTTTTCAGCAGTTTTGTTGCTTCAAACGGGAACAAATGAACGAAATACAAATTATTCTAATTACATTTAAATTTTCATTTGATATCCAGGATGCTTTTTGGGCGCTGGTCCAGATTTGTGAGAAGTACCTGACCGGCTACTACAGCGTTGGTCTGGAGGCCGTTCAGATAGACGGAATGGTGCTTGCTGGACTGATGAAGAAAGAATCGCCAACAACCCACAAACACATGGTGAGGAAAAATATGTATTTCCCAGCAAATCCTCAACACTTTCAGATTCTCAAACTCTACCTTTGAGTCCTCAAGCTTTGATGCCATGTATTCATAATGGAGGTAAAGTAAGAGAAAAAAAATGGCACTGAGCCCCTTCCCTTCCCATAAAAAAATTGGCCCTCCCCCAGTTGCCCCCCCCCCCTTGAAATTTGATAGTCCTATCATTGACCGTGGTTAACGGTTTTAACAGAAATTGGGCACCCTCCTCTTCACCCCCCACCCCTTGTTGAAGTGCTTACAGCTATGTGCTATGGTCTCTGTGAAGTTGACACAAACAAAATTGTCTGCTATGTATGTAGCAGTGGCCAGGTATTGCATTTTGGCAGATTCAGGGTGGGGTTAAAATACAATGTAGAACATTTATCATTTATTCATAAATACCTCAGACAGTTTAGCTATTCCTATTGGTCGAGAGCCCGTCACGTGGCCGGTCTTAAACGGATGATAAAGACATGGCTAGCTGGTCTTAAACACTTTTCCAGTGTCACATAAAATGTGGACTCCTAAAAATCCAGTGCCTCTTACCATTTCATTGATTGAACGTTCACAATCCTCACGTAGGCGTGCGCAACACTACCAGCGAGTCAGAATTTTATAGTTCTAAATTCAAAACGCAACGCCCCAGGTGCGTTCTGCGCGACATCGCGCAGAACATGCTACGCGCGCGTCAATCTCCATAAAAGGGTTGTTTGATGTGGGAGCTGGTTCACTTCATTAATATTAAGGGAATAAATGTTTGCTCGGTTGGTATTTATCACTCTGTTTAAGACCGCTTAGAGTCTGGGTGCTGATAATTACCCTCGGCTCCGGCTCGGGTAATTATCAGCACCCAGACTCTAAGCGGTCTTAAACAGAGTGATAAAAACCTCCGGAGCACACATTTATTCCCTTAATATTAATGAAGTGAACCAGCTCCCACGTCAATTAAGGGGGAAGGAAGGAGGAACGCTCCTCTAACTAAAGCGGACGAGTGTTCTAACAAAATATACAATTATGATGATGTGACGACTATGACTTCCTAACTACAATACATTTATTCTTACATTACAACACTTCAAGCATTCAAGCCCGTGTGCACAATAAAATGTCAAAATAAATACAAAGTGTGTGTCAAAGTTCAACACATGTCTGTATAGGTATGTATGCTACACATCAAAGTACAAACCTAAAATGCAACGAATCATGTCTCAACTCTCATCCCGAAAATACACAATTTCCCTCACAAAATGATGATAAAATAGAGCAATACTCATAGGGAATCTTCTATGAAATTAACCTACCACAGTGATATATTTCAGGAGCATGGTAGGAGCCTTGCTACCTACAAAAACGAGAGAATTTTCTAGTCAAAATATATGTTGGTCTTCTCTGTTCGAAGCCCACAGGAGAAAACTTGTTACAAGTTGCCTTTGCGCGGGAAGCACAAAGGTCACACTATGCAAATCACCTTGCCAAACTTTGGACGAGCAACAACTGAGGGTGCACTTGGTCTCCCTACAGTAATTATAATTAATTTTTTCTGGTACAAAACCCCAAGAATTTCTCAAAAGCACCACTGGGCTAACCTGACTCCCTCTAAGATACGTAAATTGTTCTTGATTTTTTTCTCGCTTTCGTTTTTAGAAAAAGCACAAGATTGATCCAATCCTGTACATGACCGAGTGGTTCATGTGCATGTTCTCCCGCACGCTACCCTGGCCCTCCGTCCTGCGGGTCTGGGACATGTTCTTCTGTGAAGGTGAGGACAGTGACCAGGCTACACGTCAAAAACTAAATGAGACAGAAATAGCAGTGTGACTCAAGGCATTGTGACGATGATGTTAGCAGCGTAGCAGACTTCACCAAGTTTTGTGGCCCTTGCTTGGGAATACAAACGATTACAGATGTTGTTGACTTTTGAATGATTTATTTTTTTATAAAACATCGTTTAAAATGTAGAGAAGACTGTTATTTTCAAACATTTCCATTATTTTTTTGGAATGCGCACGTACAAATGCATGTATAAATTTCCTTGGGAATCTTCTTGTCTAGTGCCTGCAACTATGAAAACAATGGTCTTTGGTACCTTTAGGCTGTGTACGGAAAGTCCATCATCTGATGCAGTAAAGCGCAATTCCAGTGTTAGGAAAGGAGTGTTATGTCTGCGACAGAGCCAATTAACCATTATATCTAATTGACCCTCCTGCTATTTAAACAGTCCCAGACAGTCAAAATTCACGTCCACTTCCCCTGCCATACTTTTAACAAAGGCTAGTCACCAGCAGTCAGATCATATGTCAAGCAAGCACTGTGACTAGTCAAACTTGGTCAACAGACCAAGCAGGCAAGTTGTGGTCACAGATGTTATATCACTCACCCGGAGTCAAAGCATAGCTGTATCAAGTTACTTAAGTAGTCCCAGCCAGTCAATCCTGCTTTATGTGGGCTGGGAATTCTTAACTGTTGAAACCAGTCACTTGATTGATTTTGACTTAAAGGACTACTTGGCACAGAATGTATGTTTGCATAGGAGGGTTAATAATTCAGAGATATGATCCAAAAACTCCTAGTCTGTTATCTTTCATTGACCATTACTAGATGATGGATGTATAAGATTTGAAAAAATGTATTGTCAGGTTTATCCACTGATCTCTTAAATGCTCTGTCACAGACATTACGTGATGCTGGAATTGACCAATGGCCGTTTGCGAGTTAGCCACGCCCCTTATAGACAACCCTATAGAGTTTTTGTACACTAAGTTTTGTTTGTCTCAGATTGTGCACGTTCCGCATCCATTTGTAATTGGACAATATTTTACAAGCTGCGTTGACGCGATTCTAACGCGATTCTGCTGCGATAGGTCAATTGCCCTAAAACCAAAACCAGTGAACAGAACTCTGTGCTGTTATACATGTATGGCATTTGTTTGCTGCCCCCACGCAGTGGCTTTTAGAAATATAGAACAATTTGGCTTTTATGGGACACAAACAAGCCAGCACTCAAAAAGTAACTTTTTATAATTAATTTACAGCAGAAATAATTGCCCTTGTTATTTTGAATATTGAGGGTCAAGGGATATACGTTTTTAATTGGGTTTTGCCCCTCATGTACATGCGTCAGTGAAGGGTAAAGCTTACTAAAGATTACCGTGACGGTTATGTCAAGTTTTGCAAGTCATTTATTTATTTGTTTGTGTTGCCAGGTGTGAAGGTTTTATTCCGCGTTGCCCTGGTCTTGCTCAAGAGCACCCTGGGCCGGTCAGAGCAGCTGCGCGACTGCCAGGGTCTGTATGAAACCATGGAGGTACTGCGGAACATCCCGGCGTCAATCACGCATGAAGACTTCTTGGCTGCTGAGGTGAGTTTCATCCTTCCGTTTCTAGTAATGGACCCTCTGCATGTTGGGGCACCAAGCAACAGTAGGGACCTTTAGAAGAGATTTCCTGCTATAGTACGTATCAATTTTTGTTTACTGTTAAGCAGCGCCGTGAAATTGGGCCCAGGTGAGCAAATTGAACATTTATGGAGTTAGTTAATGGGTCATTTTTTTGAATGAGTTGCTGTTTGCTCTGGTTTTGTTCTCAGATGCTGAAGCTTAGAGTCTTTGAGAAAGACATGGAGGCGGAACACTGCCTCTCTCTGGCCAGACGGAAGGTCATCAAGGAACGGCAGCTGGCGCCCGAGAAGGCCGCGGCCATGCAGCGCGACATCGACCAACTGCGCAAGAAGAAACGCGGAAAGGTCAAACCGCCGCCAAACAGAGACCACAGGGAAGGCTTCGGAAGTTCAGACTTGCTGGCGCAAGAAAAGGCGGCCGAACAGAGCGCGAGCGCACAACGTCCGGAAGAGCCCATGGGGGCATGGAATGAGCACCACCAAGTGTTGGAAAGAACTGCTCGTGCTCAGTCGCCCGTGAGCGACCCCACCAGCGGACGAACGGAGATGGTCCGCGAAGTCCATGTTGACAATCCCCCGAGAGACTGGAACAGGGGCACGGCAGAATCCCCAGTTAGTCCGGGCCCTGAGAAATCAACGAAGAGCAAAGACTCTAAGAAGGAGGAAAAGAAGAAAGAGAAAGTGGAAAAGAAGAAAGGGAAATCCCACTCCAAGACGGAGGTGATGAGCATACCAAGCCCTGGGACGGTCTTGGGAGAGGAGGTGGACGGAACAACAGAGCAAACGGACGATAAAGACTGGCACAGGGGCACAGGGGAATCCCCAGGTAGTCCAGGCATAGAGCAACCACCAAAAAGCAAAGACTCTAAGAAACAGGAAAAGAAGAAAGAGAAAGTGGAAAAGAAGAAAGGGAAATCCCACTCCAAGACGGAGGTGATGAGCATACCAAGCCCTGAGACGGTCTTGGGAGAGGAGGTGGACGGAACAACAGAGCAAACGGACGATAAAGACTGGCACAGGGGCACAGGGGAATCCCCAGGTAGTCCAGGCATAGAGCAACCACCAAAAAGCAAAGACTCTAAGAAGCAGGAAAAGAAGAAAGAGAAAGCGGAAAAGAAGAAAGGGAAATCCTACTCCAAGACGGAGGTGATGAGCATACCAAGCCCCGGGACGGTCATGGGAGAGGAGGTGGACGGAACAACAGAGCAAAAGGACGATAAAGACTGGCACAGGGGCACAGGGGAATCCCCGGGTAGTCCGGACACCGAGAAACCACCAAAAAGCAAAGACTCTAAGGAGGAAAAGAAGAAAGAGAAAGTGGAAAAGAAGAAAGGGAAATCCCACTCCAAGACGGAGTTGATGAACACACCCAGCCCTGAGCCGGTCTGGGCAGAGGAGGAGGCAGGAAACACAGAGCAAAAGGACAAAAAATCCAAAAATAAGGGAAAGAAAGCGAAAAAGGCCGAGAAAGGCGGCAAGAAGAATAAAGAGAAAGCCTCGCATTCCAGTAGTCAGCCATCATCCCCGCTCGGCAGCCCCGACCAGGAGGAACCAAGGAGGTTGTCGAACGGAAATGACCATGCGGTAAAGGAAACTGTCAGATCTGATAACGTCACTGAGGCCCTGCCCGAACAAATAACAGAGTATCGTTTATCGCCCTATGCTGAAGTTTTCCACCCAGAAACAGAACCGGTCCCAGTTGTCACGGGAACCAATAACACTGAGGATTTGCCTGGTATCCCGACACGGTCACCGGCTGAAGAACAACAAACTTCACCATCGTCCAGACAGGCATCGCAGCATCAGGATCACCATGACGACCAAAGTCAACAACACTTTGGCCTGGAGACACCTGTATGAGAGATTCCATCATTTGTTATGTAACAATTTGTTTTCTTTTACAGAATTTGACAAGAGATGGCATATAAAGTAGAACGGATCATCGGCGGTAACTCTGAATAACGGTGGTTGTGGTCCTTTAAATCCTGGTAAAATATCCTGCTCAAGGACACAGGTCTCTTTTTTTTTTACTCAAAATCACTATATTGGCATCAGTTGATGCCGATGAAATGGATTAAATTGTCTTTATAGAGGACAAACCTTTTCGCATGTTGCATGATTTTTGAAAGAAAAACAAAAAGGAACATGAAAAAAAATAGGAATACTGTGCAATGCTTTTTTATTACTTAAATGGCTGATCTGTAAATAGATGCAGTTCCTTTAATAAGCCAAACGGTTGTATGTATAAGCTATTTGATCTTTATTACAAAATATTTGAAAAAGAAAATTATTGATTAGTTAATAATTATGTTAAATACGGGATGTGGTTGGTCAAAGTTGGCCTAAAAAATAGTGTAAATATAATCACGATAATTTGGAACGACAGCGCAGCAATTCTGCTGAGCAACTTCACTTTCTCAGTGAAAATTAACCGGGAAACCGGTCACTTTTCATTATTACTGTTCAGGTGAAATTTTAGCTGGTAACCTTTTTTTTCGTTCGTCACTCAGTGTTCTCTGCTTAGTGCTTTATGCAGTAAGCAACTCGGAGAGATCAGCCCTCTTATCTCATCCGTAAGCAGTAAAATCTTACATGCAGTAAGCAGATTAACCCTAACCTTCCCAATTCCTCCAAAATCCTCTTTGCATAATTATTAATCATTTCTGGTACTGAAACCAAGGATTCCTCAAAGGCACCCTAGGCACTGTAGCTCGCAAGCCTAAAGAAACCTGTGGAGAGAAGACAATGAGAAGTTACAGTTTTAGAGGTGGGAGGAAAAGCCCAGAAGAATATTCTGGAGAAAACCTACGGAATCAGGTAGGGACTGAAAACCCAATCCACATATTGGCCCAGGCGGGATTCGAACCCGGGTCACGGCGGTGGAAGGCGAGGAAAGTACTGCTGCGCCAACCTGACTGTTGGATTTCGAAGGATTGAGGGCTTTTGAAAAATCAAAGCACTGTAGGATTTTGATGGATTGAGGGTGTAACAGAATTTTGCCCCTGGAGGATAATGGAGGATCCAGGTTAGCAAGCCCCAAGTGAGCCTGGATGAAATTGGAGGATTGAGGCTCTGGCTGGTTTTGCAACAACAACAAAATGATTTTGGAGAATTCAGGTTGTTACTTGCTTTATGCATGTATGCTTGGGCTGGCATCCAGCATTTACCACTGTTTATTGTACAGCCCCTTTTAATACACCAGCTATTTAGGGCCTTGGCGTTACAAATCCACAATACAGGATAACAATGGAGGAGTTCAATAAGTTACACAGGCTAATGAACACAAATCCGATTATGTGATAACATGCCAGCAAACCCAGCGGAGGATTTCGAAGGATCCAGGCAGAGGCCTCCAGCGGCAAAAAGTGGATGATTTTGAAGGATTCAGCTGCTTAGAGTTGTTAAGTCTTTGCCATTGAAGGCTTTTGGAAGATTCAGGCTGCTTCTGGGCAAGAGATCTTAGGGAGTTAGGGTGGAAAAGCAACATGTTTAAAGTCAACTCATAGTTCATGGAAATGTGCATGCAAAGCACAGTTGGTAGGCTATGTGATCAACTCTTTTTTTTGCATTTGTTGTACAAATATTACTTTGCTGTTTATACACACATTCAGGCATTGGCATTTGTGTGATGTATGAACCAACATTTTTACCCTGATAAACCAAAGTGGATCTATGAAAAGTTGGACTCCAAAAGTTTGCCAAAGGGTTCGTTCTGACGTTACAAACAAGAGTGGACAAAAGGAGTGGGTTTAAGTTGAGTGGTTATATGCCGAAAAGCCGCATTGTGGACCGTGTCAGAATGATTCATTCATATAATCTGGGTTCCTCCCATTATGACAAAAGAGTTTGTGGAAAAAAAATTGGCCAGACCCAGTCGGAACAACAATGCATACTTGCTCATGCAATTCATGGAACGTTGCTGGAAAAAAAATATGAAAAAAAAGGAAATATCATAAAAGGACTGTTTTGGCTTCTTTGCTGTCAACATGCTAACCATTAGGCCAAGTTGGAAATAAAATGTGTTTAGCACCCCTGCATGCCCACTTATTTAAATTACATTTCCCCCCTAAAAAACCTGAAGCTAAACTTGTCAAAACATGAAATTTGAGAAATTAATTTCTCTTTGATAAAATTCAGTGTTGATATTTGGGGTAACCAGAAAGCTTCATGCACCAGTAATCTATCTGCTTCGTTCACAAGTACCCCCTCACCGGCAAAGAAAGTACAGTTGTGGGTGACCGAATGACGCCATCTTGCCTGACTGCAATATTTTGCCGCGAAGCACTCGCGGCCATTGCATGTATATAGTACAAATCCCCTGGTGTACGTGCGTCACACACAAGGAACGGTGCGCGCGCGTCAACCAGCGAAATGCATGTCCTAACCACGGGACGTCGTTGCTAGGTAAAAGGGCGCCCTCTTTTGTTGGCGCACGGAGCCCATGGGTCAAGTTTGCATCAAGGCTGTTGCAGTACATTCTGTAGAGTGCACCCATATTACGGAGATTATATTTGAACAAGTCTTTTTGTTACAAATAGATTGGTATTTTTAAATACATATCATTAATCTATGGACATTTGTGTTTGAAGCGTGTTCATGTAATTTGTGAAACTCATTGTCCCAAAAGTATATATGTATGTATTCATGATTTGTATAGGTTATACACGTGTGTATTTTCTATTATGTGGCCTTCTTTTTAGATTACAAGTCGTTAGTTTGATATATTTGCATAAAATTAGCAGATGATGTTGCATGATAAAGACATAAAATGTAAATGATGGAAATGAATATATAATTAAGATCAGCTTTTTGTTCCCCGAAACTGGCATAATAGCGCTGTGAATTCCAGTGTAGATTAAATTTTTGGTTTCTGTAAATAGTTGGAATTGTTGAATACCTTATCAGTGTATAAAGATTGCGACACACGGTAGTATGTGTCCTGTAACTACATTCCTTCCTACGAGTATAATGTCTTGGTGCTTCTGGTAAATATCCTTTTCAAAGAGTGATTATATTTCTGTTCAGTATATTCCTGTAAATGTTTTATTGATTTTTCTTGCCTTTGAAGCAAAGCCCACCTTTCTAAAACCTTTCATCTGGTAATCCCTTTATAAGTGTACATGTAAATGAACAAAACTTGTAACCGATATTGGCTAGTTGAAAAAAAAAATGACTGGATTGGTTTAAAGTTGCATTCCACTTGCTCATCAAAAAATACTTTAAATTTTTTTTTTTTTTCAATAAAGTTTCAGCCGGTATGTTTCATTTCAACACAAAAATTCTTTTTAGGCAGAAACTGATCTGCCTTGTGAGCATACTGGCGCCCAGTCCGTACATTATCGATACTGATTGTGGGGCGGGAACCAGCCTATCCCATGAAAACGGAATTACTGTCGGACAGCAAGTAATTCAAGATTTGTAATGTAATGATTTCGTAACTAAACCTTGGCTTTACTCGGATTGTTTCGGTTGATGTCTCAATCAAAAGTGAATATCTATTGTATTGCTAGAAAAATAGCAATAGAATCTATTTTTTGGGACGAAACTTGAAAATAGCATGAGGAATGCAACTTTAGACTTGTATGGTGCATGTATCTGACAATTTAGAAGACTACCAACAATGTGGCTGGGTGGCTCAGTTGTTAGATCACGGGTACAGTGTTACGGAGGTCACAGGTTCAAGTCCCACTCCAGACAATTGTTCTGCTTAATATTGATTACAAGTTGATTTAGTCAGGTTCCCTTTTGTGGTGGGTTTGACGAATGAAACTTAGAGATATTTTATATTAATTTTGTAAACTTGAACACAGAAATTGACTGGAGCGGGGTTTGAACCTGCGACCTCCGGACTGCCATTCCGGTGCTCTACCAACTGAGCCATCCAGCCCTATGTTGGCGGTTCACCATTTTCATTAGTGTCATTGTTCAAAGGGGAATAGTCAGTAGCCATTTTGTATTAAGCGATTTGTGCATGACCTTTGTCCCAAGTAAGTTAAATTTCAATATCTGGTACCCTGACTCCTTCAGATGTTTAGGCAGATTTATACTTTAAATTTTTAGCAATAAAGACATTGTTGCTATGGTTTAGGATTAGCTATTGCATACATGTATTTTGCAAGATGTCCAACAAATGTATACAGTTGGCAAAAAAATTGTCCATTTATAAAACTCTTTTAGCAAATATATTTACCAAGCAATCAGTAGGAGAGCAGATAGGCAACACTTTTCACATGACATTTTGGCTCCTAAGCATTTGTGATAAGCATATAATTTGGTCATAGTTTTGTGAGTCACGGCCATAGGTTTTGCAAACTATTAGTAAGCAAACTATTAGTAAGCAAACTATTAGTTAGCAAACTATTAGTTAGCAAACTATTAGTCAGCAAACTATTAGTTAGCAAACTATGCGCCCATCATTCCAAACCAACAAAAAACTAATTGTATTTTATAATTATAAACACTCTGTATGTATACAAAAGACACTGCCAAACACAAAAACAAATTTCTCTCTCAGATCCAGGGAGTGTAAATTTGGACAAAAAAGTGTTGCCAACAGTGATGGAGAATATAGGCAACTGGTGGTGGCCCATGCAAAATGGTGCTTAATTGTTAAAAACAAAATAAATGTGTATAGCAGCTCTCTGTGGTTGGCCCCAGGTAGTGTCGTCTTGCTAGCCTTGAGTTCAAGTTTTGGGTTGACGCCATTCCATCATCTAAATTGAGCAACTGTAAACGAAGAGTTTGTTTCCAAGACATGGGTCGTAGAGGTTGATGGCAAAAAATGTTGTGTTCCACAAACCTGACAAACCTCCCCCCCCCCCCATCACCTTTGTACATGGGCGTCACCAGGATTTTTCTAGAGGGGGGCAAAGCTCTCAAAACCCTTGTACTTTCTCCAGCATATCCGAGTCCTCAATTTATCACTTCTTTTCAAGGGTGGGCGGGGCATATTTGCCCACCCCACCCCCATTGACACCCCTGCAGATGGCCATGTTGTTAAATGTGCATTATTTAACAGCAATATGACTTC